TGTCTGAAAGTTCTTCTCTAAGCCAACATTAAAAAATGAAAATGCTTGTGTTAACAATAAATGAAGCACAATAATTTATTGCTATTAAAGCACAACTGGCCAGCACCTTTCAGCAGTCCAGGAGGAAAACAGAATGCCTTGCTTCCTATGGAACCTTGATTGGCATCACTTTTATTTTATGCTGTAGGTTGCGTGGCTGAAGCATCACATACAGCAGAACATTTTAGGTACTTATGCTAATGGTGGTAAAGAGGATCATCTGATTCTTATTTTTGTCATCCCTAACAATCTTCTCTTTTTCTAAATCTTCAAATAGATCTGTAAGTCGTAATCAACAATTTCACAAATATAAATTTCCCCACCATTAATCATCCTTTTTCAAAATCCTTATGGAGTGAATTACTAGCTGAGAGGGGACGCCAATTCTAGTAAGTGAATGTTACCCAGCAGGGATATAAAGCTGTCAACACCACGGTGCTCTTGCTTGCTCTAAACTCTCTCCCAGCCTTCATATGTTTTTTAAAGAGATATTAGCCTTTTTTTTTCCTGAGGACCTTCTATAAAAGCCGACTGTCATACATATCTGAGCACTTATATTTTATTACATACATGCTTTAAAATACACTGCCTAGATAAGAGCAAAAACATCCTAGAAAGTGTTGGAAAGGCAAAACAAAACTGATCTACTTTCTAATAGTCTTCTAAAACTAATCACATTGTAAACAACACACTAACTTTTAAGTCCCCTATTAAAGCGCAACCTTGAAGGACTGTGATAGTGTTCCTACCACCTCAACTAGTTAAATCTAGACACTAAAATAATGGCTCTCTTTTTTTTTTTTTTTTACAAACACTTGGTTCTCAAGAAAAAACACAGCAAACTCTCTCCCTAAAAAAGTAGAACAGCAACAGAACTTACTATTGCAACCAATTCATTCAGAAACATTTCTTCACCTCACTGTTTATCAAAAGCAGTAGGATAAGCTGCCATTTGTTGGGCGACCAATTAAACTTAATGATTCCCCCTATTTTTAAGGGGAGAAGTTTCAAGAAAGAGAATCACTAAAGGTTAACAAATGTATCCTCCCAAATTTTGAGCTCTATTTTTAAAACATATTATTATAGCCATCTTTACAACACTGACAAGACTGCAATATATCTGGGAATGGTAATAAATGACGCAGAGCTATAAATATTTTTGTAGTTTCTATGCTTATTCTATTGCTTCATAAGGAAAATTTAAACAAAAGGAGGTAGGGTGATAGAAATATATCTGTTTCATATTTACCTTATGTTTCAAAAAACAAAGTCTTTCTGCTATAAAGAACTGCTAACAGGAAATATATTTTAAAAATATTTTAGAATTTAGAATGTGGATTTTTTAAAGGCTTTGCCTTTCTCCAATTTATATACATGATTAAAAGCTACAAAGAAATGAAATTATTAATATCTTAATGTACAATTGGAAACTACATAAACTTAAACCCACAAAATAATCATTAACATTCAATAAGAAAACTTTGTACTACCAAAATTTTTATGTTCCACGTTATTATATTTTAAAGCTTTCAAAGTTAAAATCTTTCCAAACAATCTATTATGCTATATATAGCAAAATGTTTCTTTTAAAAAGAATCTTTAAAAATCTATCATATGCAAACTATTTTCACCACTTTACTATTAAGTATCATAAATGGTACTTATTGAGACAAAATAATATCATCTTTATTTTCAGTTTGGGAAGCAGCTAATAAGAACTCTGATATTACTAAATTAAGTTAAAGCTCAGAAAAAGTGACTAAAGCAGCTTGTTGAAACAAATCTACTATTCCTTACCAAGACTTAAGAATTTTAGTTTACATCAAATTTATAATAAGCGGTCAAATGTGAATTAAAGTCTCAGAAAATATGAAAAGCGACCACTGTTTTACACTCAAGGTACCCCTGGTCAACAAAACCAGGTAGTTTCTTTCATAGTTCAATACAATAGAGAAAGAAAAAATACAACTTGTTTTAGGGAAGCACAATTGTTAACAATTACATTCTAAAATGTTCAGAGAGTTTTTTCAATTTAGTGAATTTTATTAGGTCTTCAGAAAGAAAGTGAAATTTTAAGTCCAAGCTTTTTCTTGATGCCTCAGGCCACTTTAAGAACACATCCCCTCCAAGGATTTCCAAAAGGTTTTCAATCAAACATTATCAGCACTTATATCGTCTCACATTTGGCTCCATCATATTCACCTCATATTTTTCTTTCTTATATTTATATACTAAATGATACGAAAAGTCCTAAGGGATTGCTCCAGTCTCAAGACAACACATTAATAAAGCCCACTCTGAAAAAGAGGGTCACCGAACTACCAAGTGCTCTTTGCTTCCTTAAAGTATATCCTCACGTCCCTCAAATGGAAGACACATAAGGCACAATCTATAGCCAAATAATTTTTTTAAAGCTTTAGAAATTGCAAGAATGAGTGCTTCTCAGGGGAGGTGATTAATATAAGGAACTAAGACAAATCATCCTGAATGTCCACCATGAAGAAATAGTAATAGCAAAATAAGGAAAACTAAAAATGTGTTATTTTATAAAATGTGTGTTTTTAACTTCTTAAAAGGGAGTGGACATATAGAGTTAAGTATTTACTTCGAAATACATACTATGACTATTTAGAACATGGGATTGGAGCTTATCACTAGGTTTTGCCAGGGTTTTATATCATTTCAGTCAGGCTAATATAAAGAACTATATTAAATAGGCTACCGCTGAAAATATTAGAGAAAAAAAATCCTTCAGAAGTAAAAAAATTTTAACTAGTGATTTATCTCAAACACACAAAAAATTAATGCCATGTAGAATTGTGCATTTTATATGTAAAAAAAACTAAACAAGTGGCACATGAACCTCAAAATATTTAAATGTGTAAATTTCACATATCTTTATTTTATAAAATTACTTTTCTTAACCACTTTAAAAGAAAGCAGTTGTTTAAATAGCAAAAATGACAAAAGATTTTCTGTAAATAATATTAAATTCTTGGAAAGGGAAACAGCATGGAGCCAGAAGGGCTACTACGTTCTTTGTACCTGTCTTGCTATAATTCATAACAAAGTTCTGAATGCATATGCCTTTAATCTCCATAGGAAACAGTAGCATTAAAGCCTCTCGCGGCTGACAGATTCGTGGTGATTCTTTATTTGCCCCTGGAAATGTGGCAGGGAACGTTTCCAGTTGTTACTCATTGTCTCAGCCCTGTCCTACCTCAAAAGTGACACCGGCACTCGGGCCCCTGGGCCAGCCTGAGCGTGAAAGACTAATCCACCAACGCGAACGCCCCTAGACTTCATCCCTACGACAGACACTCTGAGGCAAGGCAAAGGAGTTAAATCACTAAAAGCTCTCTAGGAAAATCTAGAAACAGTTAGCTGGCTGTGACATAAACCTGCCAACACCTCAGCACACAGTGGCAAAGTGCCCAAAAAATGCCACCCTCTGGGTAAACCACTTTCTTGTTTCAACTCGAGATGAAGCTACCAGTTGCAGATGAGAGGCGACAGGGGCATTATTTGGCAACCTGGAGCTCACTTCCTGTAATCCTACACCGCGACAGCGCCTAATCAACCTGAACCCTGACACCCGGGCCATTATCGCCGGGCCGCGGGCCGCGCGCCTCCCGCTCGGGGCTGTTACCTCCCACGGCCTTGGCCACGGCGCCGTTGGGCCTCCCGCGGGCTCCCATGGGGCTGCCGTTCTGCTCCAGCCGGGCCACCTTCGCCGGGGGAGGCCCCTTGACGTCGGGGCTGCCGCTCCGCCGGTCGGGGCTGTCCCGCAGACACGGGCTCTCGCTCCGCCGCTCCATGCTGCTCCGACTCGGAGACAAAGTTCCCACCGGCAGGTCGCAATAAAACGCGCAGGGACCTAGGGAGGGGGCGGGGGGGAGGGAAGGGGGAGGGAAAAAAAAAGAGGGAAAACCGCTCACACACGTGATAGACGTTCAGGCCAGTGGCAGAGCGCTGCACCAAAGCCACACAAACTTCCTCCCACGCTGCCCGAGGGGCCCGAGCCGGGAAGCCGGTCCCCACCTTACCCTGGGCGGCCCAAAGGAAGCCCAGAGCTTAGGGTGCTGCGACTCTGCCCAGTCCCTGCTCCCCAGGAGTTAGCCCTCGGTGACGACGGCCGGCCCGCGCCCAAGGGCGCCCAGAGGTGGCCCATTCATTGGGACGGGGTGGGCATAAACCGTTCTCGGGTGCGACAGCCTCGCCGTCTGGGGGTCAGGGTTGCGGAAGAAGTGAACTTCAGAAAAAGCTATCTCACCCACTCGAGGAGGGGGTGGGGGATGTACACAAGACCCTAAGAAACCGATTAACCGCATGCTGAAGGCGCCGTGAATGGCGGGGCAGGAGCCGACGGCCTGGCAGAAGGACCCCTCGAATTCCCGCTCTTTACCTTTACCCAGCACGTCTTGAGACACATACACACTTTACACAAAATCAACCCTAATTCCACATCATAAGTATCCAAAAACACTTGGAAGTATTCATCACAACCACCTCCAGAAGAACCTTCAACACAAGGGCGGGGGGGGCTACTATTTTAGAACGTTCTTATCTTCATCCGATCCTAAGTGATTTTTTAAAAACTCTTCAGCATAAAACACAAAAGCAAAAGAGCATTTCAATTATTACGTGCAGGAGCAGCCTTTATCAACCCCGATTTTAAAATCTCTCCAAAAAGTTTTCCTGTGGGTCGCTTGGCTGGCAGCGCGCTCCTCAAGGAACCCGCAGATCTCGGCACCCCTGGATTTTGGGGCGACGGAGAAGGAGGGGGAAACACCTTAGGAAACGGCGCTCACGTTGTCACTGACATCCCCAAGAAGCAGGGACCCGGCACAACAAAGTGCACTGCGAATCCTCGCGGGCGCTCTCGCCGTGGAAGAAGCCGCGTCGCCACAGCTCGAGGAGACAAGGTGGGGGTGGCAGAGGGGAGAGGAGAGATGCGAGAGATGCGGAGACGCCGCGGGAGGGCTGCAGGGAAGATTCCGCCCGCATTCCCGGCTGCGCTGTCCCGGAGGGCGAGAGCTGCCTGGAGGGGACGCAGCCAGACCCGGGGCTTCCCCGAACTCCCGAGCGGGGCGCGGGAGCCCTCGCCCCGCGTACTTACTGCTCACGGTCTGTCTGTAACTTGGCTGGCTGGGGCTCTGTCCATGGAGCAAAAGTAGAGAATCCAGGGTGGAAAGTTTCTGGTGCTTTGCCTTGCAGTGTTCTCCTAGTCTTCCTTTCTCTTTACTCCTTCCCCTCTCCTCTTCCCCAGGTCCTAACGTTTAAGGTCCTGGGTCAGGGTGTCTTCTAGTGCGGAGATGGTTGTTATGATGATGATGATTGGGGAGGGGGTGGGGTAGGGGGAGGAGGAGGAGAGGGAAAGGAGGGCTCCTCCAAAGGGGCACCCGAGCGAGCAGGGGGAGGGGACGGCGGAGGAGGGGAGAAGAGAAGGAGGCTGAAAAAGCCTTTTCACACCTTCGGGAAGGAGACCCGTTCTGGAGAGAAAGGGCTGAGAGCTGGGAGGCGGCGGAGGCGGGCCGGGGCTGCCGCTTCGTGGGGCTGCTAGCTCGCGAGGAGGCGCGGCCGGAGCCGTAGGGCCGGTGCCACCGAGAGCCGAGAAGGCGCAGGGACCCGGGACCGCGCGCGGGAGGAATCGCGGCGGCTGCCCAAGCTGTCACCTCCAGCCTCTCCCCTCTTGGCCGCCGCCGCCAGCAGCCAGAGCCGGACTCACTGACAAGCCGCAGAGAGAGACACACTGAGAGGGAGATGATTATTAGTTGCGTTGAGTCATCAGGCAAAGTGAGTCCTTTTGGGTTGTCCTCGGTTTCCGATTTCTCCCCCTCCCCCTTTCCGTCCCCAGATCTAGCGCCTTCAAAATAATAATTTGGGGTGGGGGTAGGGGAAGTCTCTGGGTTATTTCGGGATGAGGGTTGGGGGGGAAAGATCTAAACCCAAGCCAGACTGGTCCACCGCAATGAAGGAGGAGAGTGGGGGGCGGGGGGGGGCTGGGGAGGTTGCGGGGGAAGGGGGGCCCCGCCTGGCAGGAAATTAAACATCAATCAATCAATCGCTGTGAGCCCGGCGACCCAACAGCGGCGGGGCTGCGGAGGATGCAGAGGGACAGGCGAGGGGTGGGTGGGAGGCAGGGAGGAGGGAGGAGAAGGAAGAGGAGAGCCGGCGGTGGGAGAGCGGTGTGGCGAGCACCGCGCGCGCAGGGCGGCGGAGGACCGATGGCAGCGAACCGGGTGCCGCGCGGGGCGCTGGCCGCGGCCGGTGGGTGGGTGCGCCCGGGTGCCGGCGGGCGCCGGGGCCCGGGGTCTGGTCCTCCTCCTCGTGGCGGGTCCAGGGCGCGGCTGCCTCGCCCAGCCCCTAGGCGCGCTCGTCCCGGCGCGGAGGCGGAGGCGACGAGGCAGGAGCTGGCTGCCTGTCTCCCGGCGGAGGCGCAGACCGACGCGCAGGAGGCGGCCGCGCTGCCTCGGCTCCCGGTGCTGCCAACTGCGCCGAGTACTTTCGACTTTGGAGATAGGAGGGCTATCGCCTCCCCCACCCACCGCCTCCGCCCACCACCCACCGCCTCCGCCCCTCCGAGCAACTTTTCCCGGTGCCTGCGAGCTCCCCCTCGGCGCGGAGCCGGCCGTCCGGGCCCGCCGCGCCGCCGCCCGCGCGGGGAAGGCCGCTTCTCGCTCAGAGCCGGCGCGGCCGCGGGTCCCGAACAATAGCCCGGCTGTCCCAAATGGCAGGAGCACCGGCCCTGCCCGCCGGGCTGCGGGTGGCACAGGAGCGGGAGCTGCGCGGGGGGCGCGGGGCGGGGGACATCCCTGGACGACGTCCCTGGAGCCCTGGCGGCGCCGGCGACATCTCGAGCAGCGGGGCCGGGGCCGCCTGGAGGCCGTGACGCGGTGGCGGCGAGGGCGGTGGGGCCGCCTGTCCTCCGGCTGCGGGGCTGGCACTCCTGGGACCCCAGGCGGCTCGAGCCCTGGGCTTGGAGCGTGGGGAGGGCTGGGCGGTGGGGACCCGGCTTCCCCTTCCCGGGGGAGGCCGCGCGGGGGCGTCCCCAGCGGGTCCCGCGGAGGCGTCACCGAACCACAAACTTTTGCCCACTCCCGCGGCAAAGCCGCCCGCAGCCCAGCGCCGGCCGCGGTGCCCATTTAAGGTGGCGCGGGCGCTAGCCGAGCGGACCGGGCTCGGGCCGCGCTTTTGTCCCGGAGGTCCTCCTCGGGCGCGGGACCTCCTTAAACAGAAGCACGTGGACAGGCGCCGCGGGCCCCCGCGAGACGCTCGGGGCGCCGGCTGACATTCGCGGTCCCGACCTGGGGCGGGAAAATGTGGACGCGTCCCCGCCCGCCTTGAGGCCGATGAAGTCCCCTCAGCAGGCGGCACCGCCTGTCCCTCCCGCACACCTCGGCTCTCCTTCCTAGTCCCCTGGACCCCGAGGACTCCCCACCCTCCCACCGCCTGAACCACCGGTCCCCCTTAAGAAGCGTTGACTGTACGGCGGCGCCAGAGGGCCAAACTAAATTCGGCTCCGGGAAACGCGCTCGGGGGGCAAGTCTGGAAATCCTGGTCCGGCGCAGGGACAGCGGGAAGCCGCGCCAGCCTAGTGTGCTCGGGCCAGGCTGCCGTCCACTCGCCGCACCCACCCGGTGGTCGGCGTGCGCGCGGCCACCCGCTCAAAGGCAGGGACCTGGGAGGCGGGGGAGCCTCTAGAAGAGAAGGGGTCCCAGAAGCAAAATTTGCCCCCGGCCTAAGTCTCAGCGCCTAGATCCCGGAGAACCCCGCACCCAGGCGCCGCCCACCAAGTTCCAAAGGAGCCCCGGGCGACCCGGGAGGCGGTCGGAGCCCAGCCGAGAAAGGAAGCCAGCAGGATAGTCACCCTTCAGAGAGCCACCCTGGAGATTTAGGCAGCGTTTTTTTCCCCCTGTTTTTTTATTCCCCAAACCCCATCCCCCAGGCTCCCCTAAACGAGCGGGTTAGAGAAAATGCTCAATTCGAAGTCTGTGAGAACAAAGTGGCTCAAGTGAATCAACTCGTGGTGGTAGCTAAAAGGTTTTTGGCTGCAAAGAAACAAACTGTAAGTTTGATCGACAAACTTTTTTTTTAACCTGTAATATCACGTCGGAATGGGAAGGGGGTGTTGCAAAAACCAGCTGCCGCTGTCAAAGTTTGAGCCCGTTTCCAAAATGGGGAAAGGCGCATTTCTTATTAATATCTTCACAACGATAATAATGCTGTTTCTTTCCTTACCTTGGTGTTGAACTGCAGAATCCTCCTCCGGATCAATGTCCAGGAACTTAGAAGAATTGGTGATATTAGGACCTCAGTACTTCTGGAAAAAAATGCAAATGGTTTAGCCAGGATCTTTCCTGTCTGATTCGTCACTATTATTATATCTGATGATGCGAATGGTTGGAGCGATTCAATCATAAGTCATTAATGAGCTATTTTATAAACACCGCTGTCTGAAGATCTTCATTTACATTTTGCGAAGGATCTCTTCGCGAACCTCCCAGGCTTGTGTCAACAGCATGATTACGGGACTTCAGTTACACTCATAAACAACACAGCCGTATTGTTATTCGGTTAATATTTTATAAAGTGTAAATATTTTATTATGTTTTGAAGAGAACTATTGATTCTAAATTATTAAACCTCTGAGAAGGACGATTTAAATAAAGTATACAATTAAGTACAATTAAATGTACATTGGGACTAGTTTGTTTTCAGATTCTGCACCCTTTTAAATTCATTGATTTTTCTCCTTATTGGAGTTTCCTCTTGTCTGTTTTTGATAGTGAACAATTCTATCATTTTGGGCAAAAGAACTCAAATTATTTAAAATTGCATTTAACATAGATGAGAATATCGGATACTGTGAATTATTACCAGAAATGTATTTTGGATTTTTTTGTAGATTTATGCTTAGTGACACTTTTTACAAATTTCTTTGGATTTAAAAAAGGAGAATCCTAGAAAGTTTTGTGATATATGTCTGGCGTGAGTTTTTTTTCCTTGAGTTTTGTCCCTAATAAAGGCCTTTTCTGTTTCAAATTACATAAGCTTTTCACTGCACAATTTTCGTATTGACTTTATTTCAACTGAAGTAAGTGATCCTTTTCAGCATGTTTAATTTTGAAAATAAGAAATTTTAAATAACATTTTTTACCTTTTGCTAGGATTTTCTGCTTTTTAAACAGTAAATAAATTATGATGATTCAAAAGTTTTGTTTGGTTTCGTTTTATATTGCTCAAGTGGTTTATTTCCAAACTTTTTTTAAACAAAATCACACTCAAGAAAAGAATTGGTTTTAATTACGTTTGGGGTTTTTTAAAAAAATAATTTGATCCAAAACGCATTTTTGCGCATTACGTGATAGTTTGCTCCAGCGCTTAAAGCATAAAGTTCACACTGGGGGACAGTTTTATCCCTCAGCTTGCTAGTCACTGACGTTTTTGTCGGGAATCTACTGAACAGTTTTTCTCCCTTCCTCCCCCACCCCCAATTTTTTTTCATATACTATTTAGTCAAAGGTCGCTTGTCTTTCATAATCACACTGAGATTTGTTATTTTAAAAATCAACGGATCTTTGTACGCTGGGCTTAAATAGGCATGTGTTTTCTTATTTCTTAGGTTCTCCACTTTTCTCTCTATCTCTTGTCAGGCCTTTCTTCTCCTTTCTTTTACGGCCTGCACTTTTAATGACCACATTTCTTGATTTCTGTTTCTGGACACCGAGGTTTTTGCCGCGCTGGCTCTCAACTCTGGCCACCCTTCCTCCCCCAGTGCCCGCGCGGGACGGCCTAGGCCCTACGACCCGGGCGTAGGGTGCCGGGGGCGCGCGTGCTACTCTGGCTCTCGGCCCGGCCACTCGGGCCTCTGAAGGCCCAGCATCCATCGCCAGGCTCCCTGGATTTCAAGTCGGGTCACCCAGGCAAAGAGGCCCTCCCGGCAGTGCGCTGCCTCCTAGGGAACACGGGAAAGTTGTGCCGCGTGTTCCCTTCGCTCCCGCGCGCACGGGGAAAACTCTACGCGAATCGCGAGCGTCAAAAGCCTTCGACGGCTCCTGGGAACCCACGCGGGCCTGCCTCTCCCCCCCACCTCCCCCCCCCCCCACCCCGCCCCGGGCTTGCTCTGCTGGGGGCGAGAGGAGGGCGGGAGGGACTCCTTTCTTTCACATGAAGCCCACGCCAGCTCTGAAGCCAATTTCCGCCGCGGACTGTCCGGGGAGAGTTGGGCGACCAACATTTTCGCGGACCGCATTACTGCACCGGGCTTGGACTGGAAATTGGATGCGCCAGGGGGACCAGGGTCCGGGGCCAGAACGCCCCGAGGGGAACGCGCCTAAAAGACAGCTCGACTAGAGTGGGCTCGAGCCCCTTCCCAGACTGCTCCGGGGCGTCTGGAGACTGACCGGGGCGCAGGGGCGGGGGACACTTACTCCGTTATCCGCACGCCTTTCTCGTTGGCATCAGAGCCGGACAAACCCCAACCCGCGCCGGGCAAAGATAAATTACTCTTGGCTCCCCCAGCGGCTCGGGGGCCTGGGCGGGGGCGGAGCGGCGAGGAAGCCGTCGGGCCGCCTAAGGTAGGGGCGGTGGAGGTCCTGCTCCCGTCCTCAAGCGAACGAGCTCCTGCGGCCCGGACAGAGAGATGCGTCTCGGGGAGACGACTGCTTGGGGAAGGGTGGTGCAACTAGTCGGCGTTAGATGGTGAGCCGAGTACCCAGGAGCCTGGAGGATCGGGGGTCCCGGGAACAGACAATGCAGAGGCCCAGAGGGCTCGAGGAGACGCGCGACGGTGGGCCTGGGCGCTGCCTCAGGCGACGATGGGAGCTTTCTGTCCCGGGGGCCCAGATGTGGGGGACGGGAGAGGGCGTCGGGAGCGGGTACTGCCTGCCTCGAGTGAGGAAAGCGAGAGGACAGGTTTCGAAACTAGGGGAGTCGTGGTGGGGAAGATGCGGATGTGCTCTGGTCACGGCCGCGGGCTGGGAGGCCCGGGAAGGCGGAGAGCCTGCGGGCTCCGAGCACTCCTCCAGCGACGCGGGACAACGCCCCCGGGCTCCCCGATCCCTCCTTCTTTTCTAGACTCGGGAGCTTAATAGCTGGATCTTCCCGTGCAGCAGCGCAGCGAGAGAATGACTGCCCTGCTAATCTAGTTTTTTAACATAGAAATCGACTTTAAACGACCGGGAGAACAAGGCGAAGGGGGAAAGGAAACGAAACGCCAAAGCAGCCACCGCCGCCTCCCCGCCCCTGCTGGAGGGGGGGTCGCGCTTCGGACCCGCCGCCTTTTCTATCCGGAAACACCGCGCGAGGCGGAGTTGGTCGGTGCCAACTCCAAGCCCCGGGCCCAAGGTGGCGGCGAAGAACCCCGTGGCCTCGACTCGTCGTCACGGCCCCGTCACCCCTGAGCCCGGGTCACTGCCCGGGTCCCAAACCCGAGCCTCGGCGTCCTCTCCCGACAGCGCCACCGCGTGGGCTGCGGCCGAAACCTGCGCCGCCCGTTCAGTCGGCGGCTTCCGAGAACCGGCCCTTCCGCGTCGCCTCCAGTCTTCGGGTTAAAGATGCTGCGGGGGATGGGCAGGTGCCCAGCCTGGGGGACAAAGGGACCACCTAACACAAACACGCGCCCGGCAGGCAAAACAGAGGCGCCCTCCGTTTGTCCCAACCCCTCGTAATGAAAAGCACACCTGGAAAGTCCAGGCCACGGCGCCCCACCTGCACCCAGACTCCAGGCAGGCCAGCCTGCGCCGTCCACTTCGCGCCACCCCTAGCAGGGCGAGCGAGCCCGGGAAGCCGGGGACGAGGTGGCCCAAGCCAGAGCGGTTCTGGGAGCGCTTCGCAGCTCTGGGCCGCCGCCGGTCTCGAACCGCGCCAGAGTGCGCGAGGACGCATGCTGCGGGCCCAAGGTCCCGGTACCCGCTGGGACCGAAGACGAAGCGGGTGGCCGACTATCCCGCAGTCCGAACCCGTCCGGAGTGGCGGGGAACCTAGAGGGCCTCCCGGGCCGGCGACTCGCCTGTTGTCTCGGTTTCGCGAAACCCCACGGACACCCTCTTAGTCTGTCAAAGCTTGACCCCCGGGCTAAGGCCCAGGCGGCTGTGACAGCGGCGTCTGGGGCTGGGCCCTTCCCCACCCCGCGCTGCCTTGCCTCCCGGCCCCGCGGCCAAGCCCGGCCCAGCCCCACATCACCTCGCGCCGCCCGGAGCGAAGAGAGGACTAGAGAGCCCCACGTCGGGCTTAGAGGACTCCAGGGGGTAGGTAGGGGCTTACTGTAAATAAACCCACTGGTCACACGCGCGCACACGTCCACACACAGTTCGGGACTGCCAGCTATCGAAAGGGACAACGACCTAGAAAGGTGTCAATTCACCTGGTGCCCACCCCATTACGAAGCTCGCAGCCCCAACGAAACAGGAGCGAGCCCTGGACGCCCGAGCGCTCCCACGCGCGGCGCCCGGCGGCCCAGGCCCGGTGGCGCGGCGGCCGGTGGCTGTGCGGCGCTCGCCACGCGGGGCCTCTCCACCCACGCCCGCATCGTGGGCTGCGACCTGTTCCCTTCCAGATGCTCACACCCCTGGGCCACGCGGAGCTGTCTCCCGGCGTGCCGGGCCCGGCGCCCTGCCAGGCGGCTCACCTCGGCGGCCGCGCCTGCGGTTGCCCCCGGTGCCAAGCGGCCGGCCAGGGGCGGCGGGACAGAGCGCGGACGCTCCGCTCGCCTCCAGGAGCCTCCAGCCGTGCCCTCGGCGTCGCTCGGCCAGCCCTGGGCTGATTTAAATAACTAATAAGCTCAGAGAAATTTTACGAGGGGAACTTTTCCTTTTAGTATCAATAAAGCCTAGTAATTGGGCTTGTTGGTTACCTAAGCTCGAGTTCCCAGTCTCTCTCGTTCCCTCTTCTCTCTCTCTCATTCAGAGGCAACGTTTAAAAAAACCGGCAAATGTGTGTGCGTTTGTGTGGGGAGTGTGAGTGTGAGTGTATGAGAGAAGTTGTTTCAAAAGTCCTTCGCCTGGAGAACAGTCATCATTGTCGCTCTGCGGTGAAGAATTTTGAAAGGTGAACTGTCGTTATTTCAGAGGATACAAATGTTGACAATTCAAGTCTCACAATACAAGTATAATTCAAGACGAGGGGGAGTTCTAAAGATTTTTCCCTTTGGATGTGACAAAGGCAGTTGCAATTCTTCCCTAATAATTTGCATTTGAATTAACTTTCACTACATTTTGACTTCAACTCCTGGATTGTAGTGCTATCGGTTGTTTTCAGTAAAGACTTCTATATTATAATGCATTCTAAATTTTTGTTTTGCTTTTCTAATTTTTTGAAAGCATGTTCTTAGCAATAAAGAATTTTTTCCATGTGGGAACCATGCCTCAATTTAAAAATATAAGACCTTCCATGAATAATAACTGCCAATAGTCAGTTCGGTAGTGTCCACAGTGCCATTAGCGCCTATACAAAATCTCAGAAATCTAAAGGCAACCTACGCATGTTTCTCTCCAATCATAGCAATATATATTTTTTCATTTCTGCTGTATGGAAGTAAAAAAATCTTTTAAAGGACTTTTTAAATGCTAAAATTTGCTTGATCTTAAATTCCCTACCAGATACAACATAACTAGTGCCTGCCAATGTCAGCCTAACGAAATGAAGAGTATTTCTGAACCGGATTATTGTTGGGGTCAAAAGCTAGTCAACGAAAAA